GTGAACATAGAAAAAGAGTAAGGTGATGAGGATATCAAATGATTTAGATAAAGAAAAATTGGATATCAAATTAGGGAGTAGGAGTATGGAAGAAGTGAATGTTTTCAGATACTTGGGAGTTGACGTGTCGGCACATGGATTTATGAAGGACGAGGTTAATCATAGAATTGATGAAAGAAAAAAGGTGAGTGGTGCATTGAGGAATATGTGGAGTCAAAAATTGTTATCTATGGAGGCAAAGAAGGGAATGTATGAAAGTATAGTAGTACTAACACTCTTATATGGGTGTGAAGCTTGGGTTGTGAATGCAGCAGCGAGGAGGCGGTTGGAGGCAGTGGAGATGTCCTGTCTAAGGGCAATGTGTGGTGTAAATATCATGCAGAAAATTCGGAGTGTGGAAATTAGGAGAAGGTGTGGAGTTAATAAAAGTATTAGTCAGAGGGCAGAAGAGGGGATGTTGAGGTGGTTTGGTCATTTAGAGAGAATGGATCAAAGTAGAATCACATGGAAAGTATATAAATCTATAGGGGAAGGAAGGCGGGGTAGGGGTCGTCCTCGAAAGGGTTGGAGAGAGGGGGTAAAGGAGGTTTTGTGGGCAAGGGGCTTGGACTTCCAGCAAGCGTGCGTGAGCGTGTTAGACAGGAGTGAATGGAGACGAATGGTACTTGGGACCTGACGATCTGTTGGAGTGTGAGCAGGGTAATATTTAGTGAAGGGATTCAGGGAAACCGGTTATTTTCATATAGTCGGACTTGAGTCCTGGAAATGGGAAGTACAATGCCTGCACTTTAAAGGAGGGGTTTGGGATATTGGCAGTTTGGAGGGATATGTTGTGTGTCTTTATATGTGTATGCTTCTGGACTGTTGTATTCTGAGCACCTCTGCAAAAACAGTGATAATGTGCGAGTGTGGTGAAAGTGTTGAATGATGATGAAAGTATTTTCTTTTTGGGGATTTTCTTTCTTTTTTTTTTGGGTCACCCTGCCTCGGTGGGAAACGGCCGACTTGTTGAAAAAAAAAAAAAAATATATATATATATATATATATTATTATATATATATAATATATATATATTATATATATATATATATATAATATAATATATATTATATATATATATAATATATAATATATATATATATATAATTATATATATTATATATATATTTATATATGGATGTAGTGCGGATGACAAGAAACAGATGATTGCTTATGTTATGAATGAAAAGAAGTTGGATGTCCTGGCTCTAAGCGAAACAAAGCAGAAGGGGGTAGAAGAGTTTCAGTGGGGGGAAATAAATGGGATTAAATCTGGAGTATCTGAGAGAGTTAGAGCAAAGGAAGGGGTAGCAGTAATGTTAAATGATCAGTTATGGAAGGAGAAAAGAGAATATGAATGTGTAAATTCAAGAATTATGTGGATTAAAGTAAAGGTTGGATGCGAGAAGTGGGTCGTAATAAGCGTGTATGCACCTGGAGAAGAGAGGAATGCAGAGGAGAGAGAGAGATTTTGGGAGATGTTAAGTGAATGTATAAGAGCCTTTGAACCAAGTGAGAGAGTAATTGTGGTAGGGGACCTGAATGCTAAAGTAGGAGAAACTTTTAGAGAGGGTGTGGTAGGTAAGTTTGGGGGTGCCAGGTGTAAATGATAATGGGAGCCCTTTGATTGAACTTTGTATAGAAAGGGGTTTAGTTATAGGTAATACATATTTTAAGAAAAAGAGGATAAATAAGTATACACGATATGATGTAGGGCGAAATGACAGTAGTTTGTTGGATTATGTATTGGTAGATTAAAAGACTGTTGAGTAGACTTCAGGATGTACATGTTTATAGAGGGGCCACAGATATATCAGATCACTTTCTAGTTGTAGCTACACTGAGAGTAAAAGGTAGATGGGATACAAGGAGAATAGAAGCATCAGGGAAGAGAGAGGTGAAGGTTTATAAACTAAAAGAGGAGGCAGTTAGGGTAAGATATAAACAGCTATTGGAGGATAGATGGGCTAATGAGAGCATAGGCAATGGGGTCGAAGAGGTATGGGGTAGGTTTAAAAATGTAGTGTTAGAGTGTTCAGCAGAAGTTTGTGGTTACAGGAAAGTGGGTGCAGGAGGGAAGAGGAGCGATTGGTGGAATGATGATGTAAAGAGAGTAGTAAGGGAGAAAAAGTTAGCATATGAGAAGTTTTTACAAAGTAGAAGTGATGCAAGGAGGGAAGAGTATATGGAGAAAAAGAGAGAGGTTAAGAGAGTGGTGAAGCAATGTAAAAAGAGAGCAAATGAGAGAGTGGGTGAGATGTTATCAACAAATTTTGTTGAAAATAAGAAAAAGTTTTGGAGTGAGATTAACAAGTTAAGAAAGCCTAGAGAACAAATGGATTTGTCAGTTAAAAATAGGAGAGGAGAGTTATTAAATGGAGAGTTAGAGGTATTGGGAAGATGGAGGGAATATTTAGAGGAATTGTTAAATGTTGATGAAGATAGGGAAGCTGTGATTTCGTTGTATAGGGCAAGGAGGAATAACATCTTGTAGGAGTGAGGAAGAGCCAGTTGTGAGTGTGGGGGAAGTTCGTGAGGCAGTAGGTAAATGAAAGGGGGTTAAGGCAGCCGGGATTGATGGGATAAGATAGAAATGTTTAAAAGCAGGTGGGATATAGTTTTTGGAGTGGTTGGTGCAATTATTTAATAAATGTATGGAAGAGGGTAAGGTACCTAGTGATTGGCAGAGAGCATGCATTGTTCCTTTGTATAAAGGCAAAGGGGATAAAAGAGAGTGCAAAAATTATAGGGGGATAAGTCTGTTGAGTGTACCTGGTAAAGTGTATGGTAGAGTTATAATTGAAAGAATTAAGAGTAAGACGGAGAATAGGATAGCAGATGAACAAGGAGGCTTTAGGAAAGGTAGGGGGTGTGTGGACCAGGTGTTTACAGTGAAAACATAATAAGTGAACAGTATTTAGATAAGGCTTAAAGAGGTCTTTGTGGCATTTATGGATTTGGAAAAGGCGTATGACAGGGTGGATAGGGGGGCAATGTGGCAGATGTTGCAAGTGTATGGTGTAGGAGGTAGGTTACTGAAAGCAGTGAAGAGTTTTTACGAGGATAGTGAGGCTCAAGTTTGAGTATGTAGGAAAGAGGGAAATTATTTCCAGTAAAAGTAGGCCTTAGACAAGGATGTGTGATGTCACCGTGGTTGTTTAATATATTTATAGATGGGGTTGTAAGAGAAGTAAATGCGAGGGTCTTGGCAAGAGGCGTGGAGTTAAAAGATAAAGAATCACACACAAAGTGGGAGTTGTCACAGCTGCTCTTTGCTGATGACACTGTGCTTTTGGGAGATTCTGAAGAGAAGCTGCAGAGATTGGTGGATGAATTTAGGTAGGGTGTGCAAAAGAAGAAAATTAAAGGTGAATACAGGAAAGAGTAAGGTTATGAGGATAACAAAAAGATTAGGTGATGAAATTTTGGAATATCAGTTTGGAGGGAGGGGTATGGAGGGGGTGAAGTATTCAAAAATTTTGGGGTGGCGGTCAGGGATGGGTCTATGAAAGATGAGGTGAATCATAAAATTGATAGGGAAAAAGAGTGGTGGGCACTTAGGGTTGTGGGAAAAAGACTTTTCTTAGAGGCAAAGGGGGGGAATGTTGAGAGTATATTTTTCCCAACGCTCTTAAATGGGTGTAAAGGGGGGTGAGAATGTTGAGGGGGAGAAGGCTGGGGCATGGAGAGTCATGTCGGGGGGAATGTGTGGTGTGAAATATAAGCAGAAAATTCGTATTTGGGAAAGTTGGAGGAGGTGCGGGATTACCAAACTGTTGCCCAGAGGGTGAGGAAGGGTTGTTGAGGTTTTTTCCATGTAAGAGAATGGGCAAAACAGAATGATTTCAAGAGTTATCATCTGTGTGAAGGAAGGCGGGGTGGGGGTCGGCCTGGGAAAGGGGTTGGCGGGGGGGGGTAAAAGGAGGTTTTGTGTGCGAGGGGCTTGGCTTCCGCAGCATGGTGAGCGGGGTTTTATAGGGGTGATGGAGACAAATGGTTTTTAAACTTGACGTGCTGTTGGAGGTGACAAAGTAACATTTTGAAGGGATTTAGGGAAACCGGCAGGGCCCGGGTTTAGTCCCCGGAGATGGGAAGTCAGTGCCTGCACTCTGAAGGAGGGGTGTTAATGTTGCAGTTTAAAACTGTAGTGTAAAGCACCCTTCGGCAAGCAGTGATGGAGTGAATGATGGTGAAAGTTTTTCTTTTTTGGGCCCCCTGCCTTGGTGGGAATGGCCATGTGATAATAATAATAATAAAAATATTATATATATATTATATATTAGTTAAAAATACGTGATATATATTTATATATATAAATTATATTATATATATATTATTATGTAAATTTTTTTTTAAATATAATTTATAAAAAAAATTTTTATATATAAATATAAATATATATATATATATATATATATATATATAAATATATGAAAATATATATATATATATGTATGAATATATATATATATATGTATGAATATATATTCTTCTTTCTTTCAACACATCAGCCGTATCCCACCGAGGCGGGGTGGCCAAAAAGGGAAAACAAAGTTTTCCTTTTACATTTAGTAATATATACAGGAGAAGGGGTTACCAGCCCCCTGCTCCCGATGAATATATATATATATATATATATATATATATATATATATATATATATATATATAATATATATATATATATATATATATATATATTATATATATATATATATATATATTATATATAATTTAAGTTCCTTGACCCTCAGAGCAATTCTCAGATTAGGGGATCCAATTCTGAAAGGGTTAACAAAAACAATGAAACAGTCTACATAGGGTACTGTTATTTCTTCTTTGTTAATAATCATTTTCTATCATTTATTATCATTGTATTTTGAACTTATTAGGATGTATATGCAGCACAGTAAATATATTACAATAAACCAACACTTCAATGAATGAAAATTAGCAACTCACCTAGAGGGTATATGGACGGAGTGAAGGGCAACATGATTCTTCTGGCCATGAAGGTGTGAGATTTGTCAGCTGAATTTGGGAACAATGGTAGCCAAGCACGGGTCCCATGAAAACCACAATGCAACCAGAGAGCATGACTTAAATGTGGTTTGTGGCTAACAGCAGAACTACTGCACCACAAAGCCTCACAGCTTGAAGCCAGGACAATTGGTGTCATCTGAGCACACTGAAACTGAATACAAAAGAAAATTGAGAGATAATCCTATTTTAATTTGAATTAAAAACATTATATTATAGTCAGGTTCAGAGTGTTCACCACCATCACAGTGGTCTCTAGAGCTGTCATTAGTGGCACCCATGTGCTTGAGAGTAGGTTCTTGGGCTTAAACAAAGTTGCTTTCCGAGTGTTTCTGACTGCTGCAAGGTATTAATGCAATGGTCATGGTGTTTCGGATGACATAGAAGCTGACCTCAGCTGACCTCTACAACTAGGTACATGGCTGCATAGAGATCCTTAACATGTGTAATTATACTTTTTTTTTTTTTTTTTTTTTTTTTGCAGCTTGGTTGAAACTGCCTTTTCTTTAACTGAGAGTTTAACCCTTAAACTGTCCAAACATAGATCTATGTTTTTTCAACATTTGAAAGTACGTAAAAAAGTAATTTTTTTTTTTTACATTTGAAAATGTGTAAAAAAAAACGTAGATCTATTTTTTTTTTGTTATATTCGAAAATGTGTAAAAAAACGTAGATCTATTTTTGGAGCACTACGCATGTGAACGTAGATCTGCTTGGACAGTTTAAGGGTTAAATTTATGTGAGGTAGTTATTGAACTACTGCCACAATTAGAATAATTAGATCCATTTTTGTGGTACAGTTCCTAGTAAGATACAAAATATCAATTGTAGAATACGAATTTAGAAACATGAACAATAGTCTTCTGCAGCAAGGCCTAATGGCCTCAGCAGATCATCCTCATTCCTTAGCTGTTCTTTCCTGGTTGTAGCTGGAAAATGAGCAGTGGGTATGGTTGCTAATAGCCTATGAGTGAAATATACCTTTCATTGGTGAACATTTACTGTTGGAGTTGAGGTGAGGGAGACTAACATTGAGTGGAATAGTGTGGCAATCCTTACAGAAGCCAGTGCGAGTGATACATATCGGAAATAGACACCTCTCTGTTGCATGTCTCTTATTCTTGCTGCTGCTAGAAAACCAGCTGCTGAATTCTCTCTCTAGTTTTTTTCAGCTCACTCTCAATATTATCCAGGTTTGTTTTACATGACTCATTCACTGTACTGGTAATGGAAAAGTTACTCTTATATCAGGTATTTAGAAATATGCTGAGTATTGGGTTGTAGTTATGGTATATCACAGCTCAGTTGGCAGTACACTCAGTTCACATACTGAGTGTCCATGGTTCAACCTTCAGAATGGGTGGAAATGTTAGGCATGTTTCCTTACACCTACTGGCCCTGTTCACTTAGCAATAAGTAGGTACCTGATTGTTAGCTCACTCCTGTAGGTCATGGTCCTGCATATAGATAGAACTGGGCTTTGAAATGAGCTAGGGTAGGATAACAGCTCTTAGCCTGTAAATCTGACTTGGGTAAAAAAAAACCTAGTTAACATTGACATTTTGAGAGCTGATAGTGTGCTACCCAAGCCTGAGAATCTTGAATCACTCTAAGCTTTGTTGACGAAATGTTTCAAATATTGTATACCTGAGGCAGCATTTCTGCTACCAGGCAATTTTTTTCACTAAGACAAATACCATGCACAGTTGATCTGTGAAATATTTTCACCAAAGAAGATAAATTGGCAATAAGATTCCAAATATTTCTATCAAACAGTAGGTGGTATGTAGTACCTAAGCAATGTATTACAATGGCTTTTTTTTCACAGATGTGCTCTAACATTAAGTGGTATACCAATGGGTAGGTACATCTTGAATGAGCTTGTGCTTTTGTAGTTGATTTTGGTCTTGAAGAGCAAGCCTGCAGTTTACTGCAGGCTAGAAAAAGAGTGAAGTGGTTCACTTTTTTATTACTCTCTGTTTCAAAATATAATCATGGATAACCAGTATGTATACTGTGTTCAAGTGTATATATGAGTAACCCTCACAATCATGAAGCAGCGTGTTAATTTTACTATTTTTAACCCTTAAACTGTCCAAACGCAGATCTACGCTTGTACAGTTAGTGCTCCAAACGTAGAACTATGTTTTATTTTTCCTGCCTCCAAATTTGGCATGATTGGCCTGAGATGCCTGGCCAGTATAGAATGGGTCTTAACACTCAGTGTGCGCAGTATTACAAAAATCTGGGACCACTTTAGTACCTTGTGGGAGCACCAATTCAATTGAGCGCCAGATAGAGCAAATAGCGTGGCAAACACTAGGGATTCACTGATGTCATGTCATATTAACACTCCCCTTTTAAGAGGAAAGTGATGAATGTGGCCACAAGTGGTCGAGGAAATATCAAAAACCTCGATAATAACCCATGTGTAACAATTGTGCAACATCCTTTTATTTTTGATACCAGTGGCAGTGACATCCTACGAGAATGTCCTATAACCTATGCCCTAAGTAAAGAGAAACGATTCTGGAACATGTGTGATATGTACGTGGCTGGCTGGCTGGCTGGCTGGCTGGCTCTGGCTGGCTGGCTGGCTCTGGCTGGCTGGCTGGCTGGCTGGCTCTGGCTGGCTCTGGCTGGCTCTGGCTGGCTGGCTGGCTGGCTGGCTGGCTGGCTGGCTCTGGCTGGCTGGCTGGCTGGCTGGCTGGCTCTGGCTGGCTGGCTGGCTGGCTGGCTCTGGCTGGCTGGCTGGCTGGCTCTGGCTGGCTCTGGCTGGCTGGCTGGCTGGCTCTGGCTGGCTCTGGCTGGCTCGCTGGCTGGCTCTGGCTGGCTGGCTGGCTCTGGCTGGCTGGCTCTGGCTGGCTGGCTCTGGCCGGCTGGCTGGCTCTGGCTGGCTCTGGCTGGCTGGCTCTGGCTGGCTGGCTGGCTCTGGCTGGCTGGCTGGCTGGCTCTGGCTGGCTGGCTCTGGCTCTGGCTGGCTGGCTCTGTGGCTGGCTGGCTGGCTGGCTGGCTGGCTCTGGCTGGCTGGCTGGCTCTGGCTGGCTGGCTGGCTGGCTGGCTGGCTCTGGCTGGCTGGCTGGCTGGCTGGCTGGCTGGCTGGCTCTGGCTGCTGGCTGGCTCTGCGCTGGCTGGCTGGTCTGCTGGCTGGCTGGCTGGCTGGCTGGCTGGCTGCTGGCTGGCTGGTGGCTCTGGCTGCTGGCTGGCTGGCTGGCTGGCTGGCTGCTGGCTGGCTGGTGCTGGCTCTGGCTGGCTGGCTGGCTGGCTGGCTGGCTGGCTCTGGCTGGCTGGCTGGCTCTGGCTGGCTGGCTCTGGCTGGCTGGCTGGCTCTGGCTGGCTGGCTGGCTGGCTGGCTGGCTGGCTGGCTCTGGCTGGCTGGCTGGCTGGCTCTGGCTGGCTCTGGCTGGCTGGCTGGCTGGCTGGCTGGCTGGCTGGCTGGCTGGCTGGTGGCTGCTGGCTGGCTGGCTGGCTGGCTGGCTCTGGCTGGCTGGCTTCTGGCTGGCTGGCTGGCTGGCTGGCTGGCTGGCTGGCTGGCTGGCTGGCTGGCTCTGGCTGGCTGGCTGGCTCTGGCTGGCTGGCTGGCTCTGGCTGTCTCTGGCTGACTGGCTGGCTCTGGCTATCTCTGGCTGACTGGCTGGCTCTGGTTGTCTCAGGCTGACTGGCTGGCTCTGGCTGTCTCTGGCCGACTGACTGGCTCCGGCTGTCTCTAGCTGGCTCTGGCTCTCTCTGTCAGGCTCTATCTGGCTCTGTCTCTGTCTATATCTCTATCTCCGTCTGTCTCTGTCTATCTCTATCTCTGTCTAACAATGTCTCTCTCTCTCTCACATGTACACATAGGTACAGTTATACATAGTGTAAATTACCTAGGATAACCCAAAAATTCCAGGCAAAGTGCTATACAGTGCTTGTAGATATAAGGTATAATAAGCATGACTGGCAAGCAATATGCATTTTTACAAATCAGACATGATGACTGCATCGTGTGTAATACCTGTTGGTTTATGAGCCGCTCCCTGAGACCGAGAGACAAGCAGACGGAAAGACAGACAGACAGACAGACAGACAGACAGACACACACACACACACACACACACACACACACACACGCAGGCAGGCAGAAAGACACACACACACAGGCAGACAGAAAGACCAAGATGCACAGGCAGACAGAAAGACCAATTCACACAGGCAGACAAAGACACGCACAGAGGCAGACAGAAAGACCGAGACACACACAGGCAGAGAGAAAGGTAGACACACACAGCCAGACAGAAAGGCACACACACACAGGCAGACAAAAAGAAAGGCATACACAGGCAGACAGAAAGACAGATAAGCAGAGCTAGACAGACAGACTTACACGTTTGTGTGTAAAGCCCTCAAGTGTCACTCACTCCATTCCTGCACTGTCAGCAGTTTAGTGACACTCGTCATAACACCATGCTTCAAGGAGTTTCATATATACATACTCTAGAATGTCTAAAACATTGCTGAGACCTATAAATATTTGTATATATTTCTAGAAAATAGTAAATGACGAAGGGTGGTGAAAATGTTCACCTGTCAGTGTGACTGTGACTATTTGAGCACTATTTCAGTACCTAATATTAGTGTCAGTACAAAGATTGGCTATGAAACACAAGAGCTATTATAAATTGTGGGCTTGGACTTCCAGCAAGCGTGCGTGAGCTTGTTAGATAGGATTGAATGGAGATGAATGGTATTTGTGACCTGATGAGCTGTTGGAGTGCGAGCAGGGTAATATTTAGTGAAGGGATTCAGGGAAACCGGTTATTTTTATACAGCCGAACTTGAGTCCTGGAAATGGGAAGTACAATGCCTGCACTTTAACCCTTAAACTGTCCAAACAGATCAACGTTCAAATTTGTAGTGCTACAAAAGTAGATCTACTTTTTTTTTTACATATTTTCAAATATAACAAAAAAAATGCAGATAAAAGTTTTTTTTACATGTTTTCACATGTAAAAAAAAAAAAAAGATCTACATTTTTTTTTACATACTTTCAGATGTTGAAAAAACGTATATATACGTTTGGACCATTTAAGGGTTAAAGGAGGGGTTTGGGATATTGGCAGTTTGGAGGGATATGTTGTGTATCTTTATACATATATGCTCCTATACTATTGTATTCTG